AACTTACTCCTAAGTGTGAGCAGGCATTTGCTTGCATTCGCCTTCTCTCTCCCAGCAGCTCTGCAAAAGTTAGAGGTCATCTTTCCCAAACAAAGCTTCTCTGTTGTTAGTAAAGTACTACAAATGTTGCTTTGGGCCTTATGTGGTGGAGTATTTTGAGTCTTCAGCCTTGCTAAACAGATCTGTTCTGGACCAAATTGAATAAATCCATTTTACTGTGTGTCATGAAAGGGTGGGTCAGTGATCCATAGCTTGTCTGTGTTAGCTGTCCCCTTCCTTGCTGTCTGCTTTGGTATTCATACAAGAGGTCATCTTTTTGCACAGATAAAAAGTCTTGAAGGTCTAGCAGGTACCATAACTGCAGTTTTCTGCTTCTAAATACTTTTAAGTGTCATTTCTTTGTTCTGGAGGCAGGGGGGAAGTGGGTATTTCCCTATTCTAGAAATAGGAGTTTGCAGGTAACAGGGCTCTCTGCTTTACAGACCAGAAAATGTAAGTGGTGAGGTATAAAATGGGGTATTACTGGCATTAAATGACTAATGTGATGTGTATCCTTAACAGCTTTAATAGCTGTTAAATTACTTCTATTTTATATTCTGATTCAAATGGTGTAGATTCATGTAATGTAGAGCCATAGTCCCTGGAAGTGGGACTCACAGGGATCCCTCTGGGAAGGATTTTCAGTTCTTTTTCTTTTAAGCTGTGCTACTGACTGTGATATAGATGGGAAGATGCCTTCTACTTAAGGGTTTGGTGAGGTTTTTATCTTACTAATTGTTCTTCTCAGATGAGCCTTCCATGCTTTCAGCTTTTCTGAAAACAGTCTTTATTTGAATGTAGAAATACAGGTTTAACGACATTATTTTCACTATTGTATTGAAAAACTTCAGCTCAATTTTGTAAGGTCTATATTCAAAGAATTGGGCGTCCAGTGTTCCTGGCTACTCTGCTGTCACCTGTGTTGCACGTGGCATGGTTTCTTGACTGGATGAGAAGCTCTGTGCATAAATACTCATTGAAGGCACGTAGAGCTTTGTAAGTCCAGCCTGCTCTTGCAGCAAGGGAGGCCACCAGCCTTTCCAGGGCTGCATCAGGAAGTGTCACATCACCTGCAGGTGGAGAGCGTTATCTTCCCCTCTGTGCTGGAGAGGCCACAGTTAGTGCTCTCTCTCTCTCTCACACTTAGCCTCTCCACTTCATCACATGTCATCTCTGCCGCTCTTTCCTCCTTAGGGGGAGGACTCCTCACTGTCTTCTCCCTCTCACGGGAGACAGTCCTCCATGAACTTCTCCAGTGTGAATCCTTCCAAGGGGCTGCAGTCCTTCAGTAGCTGCTCCAGTGTGGGTCCCTTCCATGGGGTGCAGCCTTCAGGATCATATTGCTCCAGCCATGGGTCCCCCGCCATGGGGTCACAAGTCCTGCCAGCAAACCTGCTTCAGCATGGGCTCCTCTTTCCATGGTGTCACAGTCCTGCCAGGAGCATGCTCCAGTGTGGGCTTCCCACAGGACCACAGCCTCCTTCAGGCATATCCACCTGCTCTACCATTAACCTTCCTGGGCTGCAGGGGGACAGCTTGCTTCACCATGGTCTTCACCATGGGATGCAGGGGAATCTATGTTCTGTCACCTGAAGCATCTTTGGTTCCTCCTTCATTGACCTTGGTGTCTGCAGGGCTGTTTCTCTCATATTCTCACTTCTCTCTCTGTTGCTGCTGTTGTGCAGCAGGTTTTTTTCCCCTTAGATATGTTATCATAGAGGTGCTACCACCGTTGCTGATGGGCTCGGCCTTGGCCAACAGCAGGTCCACCTTGAGCCAGCTGGCATTGGCTCAATGGGACATAAAGGAAGCTTCTGCCAGTTCCTCACAGAAGCCACCCCTGTAGCCCCCTGCTATCAAAACCTTGCCACACAAACCAAGGCCCCTCCCAGCCTCACCTGTTCTGTCATTTCTGGGTAACAGGAGAGAGCGGTTAATGGGGAGAAATGGTGTATCCAGGATGAATTATGTAAGGCCAGTGCACAGGGTAGTGCTTGGAGAAGGAATCTGGAAAGCAGTAAAGCTGGGATGCAGATGTGGCAAATAACCCTTCTGGAGAGGAAGGGGACAACATTCATGAGTCGCTGGTGTGGTTGCCAGAGGTAAAGGAGCTCCCATGACAATACAGGAGAGCATTGGAAAAAACACAAACAGGTCAACTTTTTACTGCTAAGCTGAAAAGACTGGTGGCAGGAGGATTGTAGCCTCTACCCAGAGGGGTCTAAAATACTACTGGAATTTGCTGTCATTTCTCTTTCTCTCCCCTGCTATTTGATCTCTTAAACTTCAGAAACTGAAGTTGGCCAAGCAGCTGAAAGTTGGAGTGTGTTTTTTCACACTGGTAATACTTTATCAAATAGATGTTGGATGCTCGGCTGTTGCTTTTAAGACCTGCTGAAGTTAGTGACTGAACTGTAGTTGCCTCTGGGCAAGTAGCACTGCTGGGGGAGCAGTAATGTGCTCCAAGCTTCACAGAATCATCAAATCGTCTAGGTTGGAAGGGACCTTTTAGATCATCTAGTCCAACCATCACTAAACTGTGTCTCTAAGCCCTATGTCAACCTGTCTTTTTCAATACCTCCAGGGATGGTGTCTCGACCACTTCCCTGGGCAGCCCATTCCAATGCTTAATAACCCTTTCAGTGTCAAATTTTGTCCCTATACCCAACCTGAACCTCCCCTGGCACAACTTGAGGCCATTTCCTCTTGTCCTGTCACCTCTGACTTGGGAGGAGAGACTGACCCACGCCTCTCTAGGACCTCCTTTCAGGTAGTTGTAGTGATAAGGTCTCCCCTCCACCTCCAAAAGTTTTTCTGATATTGGGTGGGTGGTTTCTGTGGGGGTGTTTGCATTTTGAGGGTTTTTTTTAAAGTTAAATTGAGAATTGGGTGAATGTTACCTCTCAAAAGTTGATACAACTCCACCTTTTGCATTTTGTTTCCAAAAGACCGCATGCTTATGTCTGGTTGTATGTCTGTGATTTCCAGGAATCACACTGAGCAACAGCCTGGAAGACCAATGCTCTGCCCATAGTCACACAGCTGCCTGAAGAAGAGATGTCAAGGATGCTGCCTAGCTTGCTTTTCCAGGATTTTCACCTGGGGTTGGCAACCGAGGGCATCTTCAGGAACAAGAACTGTATGATTCTGAAGTTATTTAGCAACCTTCAGATATTTTTTCCTTTGTTACTGCTAAAGTGAGCTGACTTTGAACTGGGGCATCTCTGTCTCTTTAATGATGGTGGTGGGGGTTTGGGGGGTTTTTTTGTTGGTTGGCTTGGTTTGGTTTTATTTTTTTAAATATCTGTTATCTCTGTATGGCAAATGCAGGATGACACTAGGTCAAAAAAGTTGCTAAATTCTTTCTTCTTGAATTTGCTTGTTTGGCAACCATCAGCCAAGGGGAAGTGAAGCTGAACTGTGTCACCTGGAAGCTCTGGCGAGCGGTGCCGGTGCCTGTGTGTGTGCGGGCTGGCACTGGGGTAGTGTCAGCGTGAAAGGACGAGACACCTTTCCTCACGGCTTGGAGTCTGAGGACAGCTGCTGTCTTCTGTGGCCCTACCCTGACCGTGTTTTTGTTGTGGGTGAGATGTGGCTGATAAAATGGAGTTGCTGGAGCGGTTCTGGTGTGCTCTGTTCGTGTCCTGTGATGGTTAAAGATGCTGTCGTTCACAGCAGGGGGAAGAGTGAGTGGGGAGTTGAAGAGCAGAAGGCTTCTTCAGTGACCTGAAAGGAGGTTGTAGAGAGGTGGGTGTTGGCCTCTACTCCCAAGGGAATAATGACAGGACCAGAGGAAATGGTCTGAAGTTGTGGCAGGGGAGGTTTAGATTAGATATTAGGAGGAATTACTTTACTGAGCGGGTGGTCGGGCACTGGAAGAGCCTGCCCAGGGCGGTGGTGGAGTCACCATCCCTGGAGGTATTTAAGAAACATGTAGACATGGCTCTTCAGGGCATGCTCTAGTGCCTGAGATTGTTGGCCTGTGTCTGTCTGTGGGTGGGTGTGGGGGTTTGGTTTGTTTGTTTGGGGTTTTTTTTTGTGTTTGGACTCGATGATCTCAAAGGTCCCTTCCAACCATGAATATTGTGTGATTCTTCTCGGTGTCTGGAGGTGGAGAGGTTCCCGTGGCGCCGGGGGCAGGAGGGTGTGTGAGCCGTGGGGAGCTGGTTTCGGGAGATGCGGGGAGCGGGCGCTGCGCAGGTGCAGACGGAAGAGCGGATGAAGAACATGCAAGAGGGGCAGGAAAGAGGGGCTGGGACCTGACACGCCGCGGGGGGCGCCTCAGCAGCGAGAGCGCGCCTCCTCCCCACGCGTGGGTGCGAGGGCAGGACCGCGGGGCCGCTCCGCGCTGCGGGGGCGGGAGCCGCAGCCGCCGCTTCTGCCGCTCCGCCACCGGGGCG